TCTTCTTTTCATTCTTCTTCTTTTCATTCTTCTTCTTCTTTTCATTCTTCTTTTCATTCTTCTTCTTCTTCTTTTCATTCTTCTTCTTCTTCTTTTCATTCTTCTTTTCATTCTTCTTCCTCTTCTTTTCATTCTTCTTTTCATTCTTCTTCCTCTTCTTTTCATTCTTCTTTTCATTCTTCTTCTTCTTCTTCTTCTTTTCATTCTTCTTCTTCTTTTCATTCTTCTTTTCATTCTTCTCATTCTTCTTTTCATTCTTCTTTTCATTCTTCTTCTCATTCTTCTTTTCATTCTTCTTCTTCTTCTTTTCATTCTTCTTCTTCTTCTTTTCATTCTTCTTCTTTTCATTCTTCTTTTGATTCTTCTTCTTCTTCTTTTCATTCTTCTTCTTCTTCTTTTCATTCTTCTTTTCATTCTTCTCATTCTTCTTTTCATTCTTCTTTTCATTCTTCTTCTCATTCTTCTTTTCATTCTTCTTCTCATTCTTCTTTTCATTCTTCTTCTTCTTCTTTTCATTCTTCTTCTTTTCATTCTTCTTTTCATTCTTCTTCTCATTCTTCTTTTCATTCTTCTTCTTCTTCTTTTCATTCTTCTTCTTTTCATTCTTCTTCTTCTTCTTTTCATTCTTCTTTTCATTCTTCTTCTTCTTCTTTTCGTTCTTCTTTTCATTCTTCTTCTTCTTCTTCTTCTTTTCATTCTTCTTCTTCTTCTTTTCATTCTTCTTCTTCTTTTCATTCTTCTTCTTCTTCTTTTCATTCTTCTTTTCATTCTTCTTCTTCTTCTTTTCATTCTTCTTTTCATTCTTCTTCTTGTCATTCTTCTTCTCATTCTTCTTTTCATTCTTCTTCTTCTTCTTTTCATTCTTCTTCTTCTTCTTTTCATTCTTCTTCTTCATCATCTTTTCATTCTTCTTTTCATTCTTCTTCTTCTTCTTTTCATTCTTCTTCTTCTTCTTTTCATTCTTCTTCTTCTTCTTTTCATTCTTCTTCTTCTTCTTCTTCTTCTTCGTCGTGCCCCGTGACTGCCCAAATGAGTGAAGTGTGCGGTGATTCTAAGATCAACGACACTCATCTGCATGTCATACTGACTGACAGTATTATTTCTCTTCCCCAGCAGACTCCAAGGGCATTTAAATTAAAGGTACAGTGTTCTGCACTAATATAAAGGCTCTCTGAAGCCTAGAAACCCTTTAAATAAGTTAAATTTGCAGCGAATACATTCGCATCGAATCGAATTTCTTCTGCAAATTCGGCGAATCAGCCGAATCGAATTTTTGAATAATTCGCTCATCTGTAGCTATCACATAGGGGGATATTGTATAAAAGTAATTTAGTCATGTAAAATAAATATATAAATAAACAAATAAATAAATAAAAAATTGTAAACATTTAAAGAGATACTTAAAAAATAGAGCCCCAGCCACCATCACCCCCCCCCCCCCCCCACACACACACATATTGGGGCATCTATGTAAGAAAATTTAGATATTGTATATAACCACTAGAGTGACAGCAAATATTCTAGCACTGGAGCGCCTGCATAGCTCTAAACTGATGACCTATAGGGTCTTTTAAAGCATCGCCTATGGAAAATATAGGGTACTGAAGTTTTTCACCGTTTCACAGGCTCATGCAATTTTAAAGTTTGATATGTTCCTTCGGCACAATCTCATATTTTATATTTTACCAAAGAAATGGGTAATAAACTTCATTTATGTTCCCAAAAATTTACTTTAGTGTAATTTTTTGTGAAATGTTGTGTTTCATCAACCATTGCACTATTATTGTGTAACTTAAAAAAAAGATTTAGGGTTTTAAGTAATCTTCAGGCCTAAAATGATTTTTAAAACATGTAAGCAAAAAATGTAAAAACAATCTAAAAAAATGACTCCAGGTCTCAAGTGGTTAAAATGCCTTCCTGCCATTACCCTAACACTGCCCCTCTCTCCTACCAGGCATAGCATGGAAGTTTTAGTTTGCCTCACCTGCCAGCTACCCATAGCCAATGAGGGGAAGATGGGAATGCATAACCATAGCCTCTCAGTACACACTGCTATTGTGGAGGGGAGGATGGTAGTGGAGGGCAAAATGCACCTTCACCCATATAGACAAAAATCCTTGCACCAGCTCTGCCTGTACTAACAAGAAGCACACTAATAAGAAGAGAAAGCAAAGTGACAGAGAGATGGGCTCATCACATGTCTTCTTCTCCTTTCACTGTCTAGTTGCAGGCTGGGGGTGAGTCCAGGACAAACTGAGCTCAAAGAAAGTGGGTTGAACGAGCCTGGCCATCAGACAGAGGACAACTAGAGGCAGAAAAAGAGTACTGTTGGAGAAATCATTGCACTGGAGCTAAATATTGCAGCAAAAGCTGGTTTATATTTTTATGTTTCAGTGGGCTAGTCATAATTTTTTTTTTATATGGAATTCTAATTTAATGAGGGAAAACTTTCACAGTGAGACAGCAAAAAAAAGTAAATTGCAAATGGTTCTGACTCCACTTTAGTAAATAAATAAAAACTAAAATGCTGGTTGCATTCTTCATTGAAGGATTTATGTTGTATATAAACAAATACTTTGACATTTGGCTGAATTTGAAGGAGTCGGTCTCATTGCTTTCTAGCAAATAAAGCGTTAACACTGTCCATTGCTTAAGATGACGCATATTTACAAGACCAAACAAGTTTCTTCTTTAGGCTACTTTTTCCATGTGATACTTAAGCTGGCTATAAGGATGTTAATTGCTGTGATACAAGAAGTGACACTCATAGGCAATACAGAGAAATGTAATACCCATAAAACAGTGTTAGAAGTGTGAAATGTCTGCAATAAGTTAATTGGTGTTATAAAAGGAAAAAAAAAATCTAGCATGAGAAAATATAAATTTGTCAAACATTCATATACTGGCATTGACTTGAAAAAGGAAAGCAAAAAAATAAAAAATAATACTGTACTGTAATTAATTGTCAGAGTCTGCCTACAGACTTGGCTGGGTTCCAGTAATATGACCCGACTTTTTTTTTTCTGTGCCACATCCATGATTGAAGATCTTTGCAGTATAAATTAAATATATTCACAATTTGCCTGCCTCCCTCAGAGAATCTTGAGTGCTCCACTATCATGTTCACTTTGAAATATGTGCAATTTCCCTATGATGATGTAAAAGTGTAAGTCCAGCCAAAACTTTTCTTTTAGGTTTTGAATTAAATCTCCTGTAAGGTTTTTACTATTATTCAGGGCTTCATTAGAGAGATTTTTCTTTATTGCTAACGTAATAATAATTTCATCAGGCAGAAAGTGTCTCCAAAAACAACACTGAATTAAAAAAAAGTAGAGTAGGACAATGCTAGTTTATCACTACTACTAATGATAAGCATACTTTAACCTCTTGCCCAGTCCAGGCTATTCAGCGCTGCACTATTTCAACTGGTAAGTGCACAGTCATGCAATGCTGTACCCAAACAAAATGTATGTCCGTTTTTTTCACACAAATAGAGCTTTCTTTCAGTGGTACTTGATCACCTGTGCGCTTTTTATTTTTTGCAATATAAACAAAAAAAGACCAAAATTTAAAAAAAAACAATATTTTTTACTTTCAGATTTAACCTCCCTAGCGGTCTGATTATGTCCATATTTCTGTGCTCAAAGCGGTAAATTTTTTGCATTGAAATATTTATTTTTTTTATTGTAGGCCTGTAATTTTTAGGAATAACTCACTGAAATCTGTCCGAACAAGAGTCTAGTAAACATCCCGGTTATGTTAAAATGTTAAACATGAAATCATAAATTATAATTTAATAAATAATCATAAATAAATAATAATATAATAATACATTTAACCTCCTTAGCGGTATTTCCCGAGTGTAGCTCGGGGTAACATTTCAGTACCAAGAGCGGTAACCCCGAGCTACACTCGGGCTTACCATGCGGCACTGCTCCGGCATTTGTTCTTCACTTACCTTACCCTGCGCTCCCGCGATGTGTCCCCTGCAGCGTCCCCGGCCATCTCCTCCGGCCGATGCCGGCATCCGGCTTCTGTGTCCTGTCCCTGTGACGTCGGGACGTACGGGCGCGCGCCGGCGGCGGCGGGAAATTTAAAATTTTTTAAAATTGTCATTTTTTTTTTTTTTTCATTTTACATAGTAAAACATTGCTGTCTCAACCAATTTCACATACATTTTGTCCCGAGTGCTTTGTCCTGTGCCCTGCCTGCATTTTGTCTGTTCTTTCTGCCTGGAAACTGAGAAACGTCCATGGCGTCCAAAAAGTGTCCCTTTAGGTCAGATGCGGTTTAGATCAGCTAGAGAACAGCGATAGTAAATCAGAACCACTTGCAGAATTGAGTGATAATGATTTGTGGGGAAATTCGTCATCAGACACTGAAAACGATTTTGCTACTGAGCTCAGCAATGTGCGAACTTGGCGCTATATTTCAAATTTCAGTGTTTTTGGTTTGATTATATTATTGAATTAAATTTTGTATTATTATTATATTATTTTTATGATTATTTATTAAATTATAATTTATGATTTTGTGTTTCAAATTTTATCATACCCGGGATGTTTACTAGACTCTTGTTCGGACAGATTTCAGTGAGTTTTTCCTAAAAATTACAGGCCTACAATTAAAAAAATACATATTTCCATGCAAAAAAATGGTACCGCTTTCAGCACCAAAAATCTGAAATAATCATACCGCCAGGGAGGTTAATTCAATAATATAATCAAACCAAAAACACTGAAATTTGAAATATAGCGCCAAGTTCGCAAATCATTGAGCAAAGTCGCAAAATCGTTTTCAGTGTCTGATGACAAATTTTCCCACGAATGATCACTGAACTCTGCAAGTAGTTCTAATTTACTATCGCTGTTCTCTATCTGGTCTAAAACCGATTTTGACCTAAAGGGACGCTTTTTGGACGCCATGGACTATTCTCAGTTTCCAGCCAGAAAGAACAGTAAAAATGTAGGCAGGGCACAGGACAAAGCACTAGAGACAAAATGTATGTGAAATGGTTTGATACAGTAATGTTTTACTATGTTATTTTAGTGAATTTAGTGAATGTCACTTTTTGTCATTTTCAAATTTCCCGCCGTTCCGTCCCCCGTACGTCCAGACACTCGCAGGGGACGGAACCCAGATGACAGATGCTGGCATCCGCCGGAGGACATTGCAGGGGACACTGCAGGAGTGCAGGACAAGGTAAGTGAAGAAGAGATCCCGGAGCAGCACCGCATGGTAAGCCCGAGTATAGCTCGGGGTTACCACTTGTGGTACTGAAACTTTACCCCAAGCTACACTCGGGAATATCACCAGGGAGGTTAAAGAATATATAGTAAATTCAAAGTTTGTCATAAATTTAGGCCAAAATGGATTCTGCTACATGTTTTTGGTAAAAAAAATTGATTGCTTTGTGTGAAAGTTATAGCATCTACAAACTATGGTATAGATACTGCAATATATGCCATTTTGTGATATACAGCACTGCACTAGTTTAACTGACAATTGTGCGGTCATGCAATCCTGTACATAAATTAAATTTATGTCCTTTTTTTCCACACAAATAGAGCTTTCTTTTGGTTGTATTTGATCACCTATGTGCTTTTTATGTTTCTCGCTATAAAACAAAAGAAGACTGAAAATTTTGGAAAAAAAATAATATTTCTCATTTCTGTCATAAAAAATATCCAAAAAACTCAAATTTCATCATAAATTTAGACCAAAATGTATTCTGTGACATGTTTTTGGTAAAAGAAAAACCCAAGAAGTGTATATTGACTGTTTTGTGTGAAAGTTATGGCATTTACAAACTATGGTATAGATCATGGAATTTACACAGCTTTTACTATCTGATTGCCTATTACATTTCTTCAGGTTCTAAAATACCAGGACAGTACAAACACCCCAAATGACCCTTTTTTGGAAAGTAGACACCCTAAGCTATCTGCAGAGAGGCATATTGAGTCCATGGAAGATGTATTGTTTTCCAAAAGTTTTTGGAAAATAACAAAAACATATATTTTTTTAAAACCTACCAAGTATGGGGATACCACATGTGTGAGACTTTTTGGGAGCCTAGCCACATACTGAAGCCTGAAATCCAATGACCACTTTGAAAGCCTGAAGGTGCGCAACTTATTCATTTCACTTCCTCACTACCTATCACAGTTTCGGAGGCCCTGAAATGCTAGGATAGCACCAAACCTGTCATGTACCTGGTTGGGGAGCCTGACGTGGAGAGGAGGCGTCCTCTTACTACTCCCGCTCGGAGCCCCTGATAGTGGGAACAGAGGGCGCAGAGCCAGGAGTGGCACGAGTGCCAGGTAGGTCTGGAGCTGGCGGCAGGTAGGTGGACACCCAGGAGATCTGGATGCAGGCCCAGTGCAGATGCAAGAACATAGGCGCAGCAGCAGGCAGGTATGGCAGCAATCAGGATGCAGACTGGGACTGGACACAGGAGCATGGATGAGGCAGCAGGCAGGTATGGCGGTGACCAGGATGCAGGCCAGGTGCAGGAGCGTGGGTGCAGCAGCAGGTAAGTATGGTGGTAATCAGGATACAAGCCAGGTGCAGATACAGGTAAGTAGGCGTAGCAGAGTCAGACAAGCCGGGTCAGGATCAAACGAGCAAATCAAGTACAAGGGAGCAGGCAAGCGGATAGTCAGGGATAAGCCGGGTCGGTGCAGGCGGAGTTCTTTCTTAGTCAGGTCAGATCAGATACAGGCAACAGAATCAGGTTATGTTATAGAGTGCAGGATGTTATAGACCAGAAGGCATTGATTACACTGTATTGCAGGTTTAAATAGCCTGCCTTGCGGTGACGTGTACGCTACTGTGCATGCGCGCACTCGCACGGTCCTGCGCATGCGCGCCCACACGTTCCCGCGCATGTGCATTTGCACTGCCGCGGTCTGAGGGGATCCATCGCCTTTGCACAGCTGCACAGCGGCAGGATCCCTGACAAACCCCCCCCCAAATGACCCCTTTTTTGGAAAGTAGACACCCCAAGGAGTTTAAAAAGAGTCATGATGAGTATTTTGCAGATCTCATTTTTTCTCACAAGGTTTTGAAATATAAAAAAGAAAAGAAAAAATATGTTTTTGTTTTCTTTCTTCATGCTCTAAAAGCTTGTGGCAACAAACAAGATCTGCAAAGTACTCAAAATGCTTCTTATCAAATTCCTTGGGGTGTCTACTTTCCAAAAAGGGGTCATTTGGGGGGGAGGGGTGCTATCCTGGCATTTCAGGGCCTCCGAAACTGTGATAGGTAGTCAGGAAGTGTAATGAGGAAATAAAGCCCTTTAAAAGCCTGAAGGTGATTATTGGATTTGGGGCCTGTATTTTGGGGAGTAATTCCACATATACCCATGGTATGTGTAAGCAATAAATCATTTAAGTGAAAATTTTGTGTAAAAAAAAAAAATATATAATTTTTTTGTCATTTTCCAAAAACTTGTGGTAAAAAAAAAAATTCTTCTATTGACTCAACATACCTCTACACATCGCTCACTCTTTTAATCACCTGAAGACCAAGGCTTTTCTGACACTTTTTGTTCACATGAAAAAAATCTGTATTTTTTGCTAGGAAATTATTTTGAACCCCCAAACATTATATATATTTTTTTAAAGCAGACACCCTAGCGAATAAATGGTGGGTGCTTCAATTTTTTATGCCACATTGTACTCGCGCAGCAATTTTTCAAACGCAATTTTTTTAAAAAAAATACACTTTGTTTACTTTTAATGCACAAAAACACAATATATTGGTCAATTATTTGGTAAAATATTAAAACTGTGTATGCCCCATTGAATGGCAACTAACTGCATACATTTTTATTATCCATATGCAATGCTTAAAAAGCCTTTACAAGATACTATGTTAAATTTACAGAGGTGGTCTAGTGCTAGAATTACTTCCCTTGATCTGACGTTCGCGGCAATGCCTCACATGCATGGTGCAACCAGTGTTAACATACTGTTACGGGGTCAACGCTAGTGCATGCAGGTTTGCACGCATGCGGGGGTGTGCTTTTTTTTTAAGTTATTTTTTTTTTTTTTTTAATTATTTTTACACTTTTATTTTTCAATTTTAATGATATCACAGGGAATGCAAATATCCCCTATATCTTCAATGGGCATTGTCATATATTCTTTTTTGAGGAATCTGGGATCTATCAGACTCTAGATTTCTCCTCTGCCCTTACATTATCTAATCTCACCAAGATCAGTGTGATCAGATGCTTTCCCAATTTACAAATGGCGCTGTTTATATCCTGCGAAACTGAAGTGATGAAATGCTTGTAGCTTCCGATTTCTTAGACTATAGAGATTATTGGCACCATTCCGGTCTTCATTCAGCTCTATAGTCAGCCAGCAGAAACACCAGCTGCATTCTCAGGTTCCCCCGATGGCACGGGACTGCCCAAGAAGGCTGTGGAAGGCAGCGGGGGAAGGGGACTGTCACGACCCGCGGTCGCCACCACCAACAGGGTGACAATCGCACAGCCGTGACTAACAGTAATACGTCACACCCACGGCGTCAGACCCCAGACCTTCTCACCAAACTCGTGACCAAAGGGCCGGCCGATCCAAAACCGCAGTGTGACGCACGTAACAAGGCCCCACCCAGCTGCACCCTACACAGCGATTGCCCAGCTAATGGACTACAATCGGTGCCTGCAGCCTGAATGCACTTGTTACTGGGTCGGGTTAGTTACGCAACTAACCCTCTACTGCCACCACCACTTTTGTCGGAGACTGGGAAACTCCCGTAATCGAATATACACTATAATGATTGAAATATTGATCTATATAGCACGGCCCGCGGACCTGCTATACAGAGATATGACAAACCGTAGCATCTCTTCAAAGGCAGGGATTCGTGAATTGCAAGTAAGCTCTTAGAAACAGTTTAACACTTTCAGAAAGAAAGATTTATTACTAAAAGCGTCAGATGCAAATACATATTTACGAAGAGATGTCACAAAAATATATATATATGTATATAAAGACACAGCAAAGAGATAATTAGGAAGAAGATTACAGGGTTGAGTTACTTGCCCTTAGCCTGGGTTTGCAGATCCAAGTTGTGAGCAGGATGATTTCTTTGATCTCCTCTTGTTACGATGTTGCTGGGAGATCTCTCTGTGTGAGTGTGTGTCAGTGTGACAAGCTCTAACTCTCTTGAAAGTCCCTATCAAGGGAAGGGGGGGGGGCTCTGACTACACGTTTTGGGAGTGGTCATTGGGGAACTCTAAACTAACTACAACTCATCCCCCATGATATGAAACATACAGTTCACCTGAGGAATGTGCAATTATCTTATCTTGATTAAGATGGGGGAGGAAGTACACTTTACAGCCTTTATGGACAGCTTGCCTCTGGACGCAGGATGTCTTAACCTGGTTGTTCCACCCCATCTGCCAGGAGATAACGTTTGCCTCACAGGAATGCAGGGGGGATGTGAGGAATGATTTGAGGAATGCCTCAGATAGACAGACAGAACACGAAAAAGAGAGTGTAAAGGGGGACTCCGCTCCAACAAGGATGAGCAAGTTTGCCACAGGGACATCTTCTCCCATTGCTTGTAAAAGCAATCCTGCAGCTAATTAGCCACTAGGATTGCTTTTACATGAAAGCCAATCGCTAGCTAAATAAAACAATACCCGGAAGATGCCTGCAGCTGCAGGCATCATCCTGGTATAACGACTCAAAGTCCAGTGATGTACCAGTACGTTGCTAGTCCTTGTTGGGTGTATATGCTGTGTTCTTTTTTTTATGCAGCCTTTGGGCTGAATGAAAAAAAGAGAAGAAATGTCTGCCAGAAAAAGTGTGTGGTATGCCCACCATTAGAATATACCGCCCTGCATCCACCCATTTCTAATTGTGGGCACACAAGAAATGTGCCACAAAATATAACAAAATATAGATGCCGAAGCATAGGGGCCATCCACCCACTGGCCACCCCAGGCCCCCATGCTTTGGCATATATGCTCTTTTTTAACTGCAGATGAAAAAGCTCATCCAACAGCACTGCCCACACTGATTTATGTATATTCTGAGAGCAAGTTCCTGTTGATATCAGAATAAACAGGCCGGTGCTGCAGCTGAATGGCATTCCTGCAAATAAAACAGCAATGGTTAACAATTAAACAGTAAAATTGTAACAGTAGAAGATTAATAACAATGAAAACATTTTTGTGGGGATTTGGTTTTTTTAAACTTTAACTTTTTAAAACAGATTGTAGGGTCTCTCAAAATGCAATAGCCAGTTTCCTGACTACCTAACATCTTTCGAGATCCTGTGTAAATATTTGTCCTTAC